CACATGAACAACCTCCCCCACCTCCCACACTGGGAGCCTAGGTCCATCACCCACCCTACTTCCTCCCCACCACAGTAGCTGCATATACCACCCACCCACAGCATGGGCAGTTGATCTCCCTTTTTTGCCATGCACACTGCCCACTCCTAGCCACTGAGGCAGAAGGAACTGCAGGGGAGGGGAAGGGGTAGTGGAAGTGATGGCCTGACAGGAGCCCCTGGGCTGCATGGTAACTCTTCAGGGGCTGCATGAGACCCACAGGCCACCAGCTGGACATCCCTGGTCCATACCTATCAAAGCAAAGAAGTGCCCAAAGTCATGGCCCTTCCAAGTTCTCAATTTAGTCACTTTAGGTACTGCCACTTGAGAAAGTGCCTGCTATTTCCATTCTCCATTCTTACCGGTTAAGACTTGAACATCCCACTTACTGTAATTAAGTGCCTAAAAGGTGTCTCAAACCAGGGCTTACTCCCCATTTTAATTGTTTGTAGTTCATTACAAAAAAAATACAATTCTAAACATTTGTTGTAGTTGCATTCCCATTTTTTGTATTTAGTTACAACATTCATAGATGCCAGCATCTTTAAGCATTCAGTTCTTTTTTCTTTAAATGGCTAGCACCACTCTTGTTCCCATAGAATACTGATACTGACTGACTAGAAAAATGATGTTAAAACACCCAGCTTTCCTGACTTGCCAAACCTTCTACTGGACACAAGTAAAAACAGACTAAATATATGCCAATTATGTAAACTGTGGAATGTATAGCTGCAGACAGCGAGATGAAGGCACCTGACATCATCTACCTCTAGCTTAGACAAGTACCTGGCTCTCAAGGATTACTGTTCTACAAAAGCAGCTGTTTTTGAAATGAGCCTTCTAGATTACCAGGAGGCTGCTAACAGACTTAACTGAACACTTTAAGCAGCTAGAGAAGTGAGTTTCTACTGAAAGCTGCAATACATTGTCCCAGAGAAAGGATGCATTGTGCTCCTACTCAGAGGCTTGGTCAACTGTGAAAATTCATACAATTGTACTATAGTCAAAAGCACACAGAAGCATGCCTGTGCTGTGGTGCAAGTCTTCAGCATACTTCACATAATAGTTTCAGTGCAACTATGTAAAAGATATCAACACAGCATGTGCTTGGGTATCAGTTTAATATAATTGATAGATATACTAACAACATTAATTTTGCATGCAAAAGCAAACTGCAATTTTACATGTAGCATGCAGATAAGCTTTTGTGTTTAAGAAGTGTGTAACCATAAGGTGTTGAGATGTCTCAGCATCCAGATGCAGATAAAAAGTGGTGTCTCCTTAGTGGGAGAGAGACAAGAGGACTTCCATCATCTGTAGCTTTTGTCCTGCGGCACAAATCTAAATAAAATTTGGAATTACATTGCTGAGAGCAGTATGTCCCAGAAGTTTGAGGCTGAAGGAATCAGGGGATGCCTATGCACTGTGATGCAATCCTTAACAGAATTATCATGTTTAAGATGAAAGTTTGCCTCATAATGGCTAAAGGTGAACGACAGGAAAGCAAATTCCACATTTTCCACATGCACATTCCACATGCTCTCATCTGTAATTACCTCTACAAGAAGGACCTTACTTCACAGTCTCCTTAAAAACTTAGGGCCTTGTTGCACCTTATGCTGTGAGCCACACAAATGTTGACTGGTGTTAGAGATAGCTTGGAGTTTGAAGCAGTCACACCCTTAGTGTAGAAAATCTGACTGTCCCCAATCTGCACAGCTGTGACTTCCTGTTAGAGGCCTGGCAAGCAGAGACAGGACTAGGGTTGCCAACTCTGTCTGAACCTATTCTGGAAGGTTTCCAGAATGCCAACATGCCTGGAGACGCACAATACAAGTGCCTGTGTATATCAATTAGATTATGGTGCATAGACTTCACATCAGGAAGGCAAATGCACGTTACTATTACATTATACAGTAGCCCAGTGACTTTTTAAATTGGAGTCAACATTTAATATTTATTTTAATGAATGCCTTATAATTTATCTCCTGGGTGACTCAGGAGTCTCCTGGCAATTTATCTAATTCCTGGGGACTCCAGGGCAATCCTAGAGGGTTGGCACCCCTAGGCAGGACTAGGAGCTATAGCAAGTTGCCACTAGAGGGCTGGTGAACCAGGACAGGCTTCTAATCCTGCCATATGGACAGGGGTGAAAGATCCTGGGATACTGAAAGACCTCATCTTGGGCAGCACATCTGTTGGGAGTGGCCACGCCTTAATAGAACAGGGGCTGGGTAATGCAGATCAAAGATAATCCTGCCCTGGAATAGCGCAACTCTGGGCCATACAAGTGCTTAACATCACTTTGAGGTGTTAATGTATGGACAATCCAGGAGTTAAGAGCCCCAGAAGCCAACCAAAATGACTGTGTAAAAAAGGTACTTAACACAGTGCTACCATTTTGGGCTGAAGGGTAAAAGAGGTCAGGAGACTAATAAACAGCATACCAAGTAGCATAGTATACAGTTGGGATTGCCATTTTTGCAGAAGATCTGGCAAAAACAATGGTTAGGGATTTAAAGGATTGAGAGTGAAACCATCCAGATCTACACACAACAAATTGCTTAAGTCCTCCTCACAGAGGCTTTCATGTTCTTACTGGGAGCATTTTTTTCAGCAAAAAGGGTACACCTGCATCAACATTTACTTTGGAATAAGAACATTCTGTGTGCATCTCAAAGCTGACTTCCCAAATCCATTTAATACTGTGCTTTAGAAGACAGTTTGTAAAATTTCAAAAATCAATTTTCAATATTTGAATCAAAGGGCATCAAGCACATACCGGCATTCAATGAGGTAACATCATATCTTTAGGCATATGATGCATGACCAAGTGCTTATTTTTTCCATTAGATAAACCTACTTGCATACCTGGAGTTTAGCACTATCATCTTGGCAAACTGTTTAGGTGCTTATTTGGGATTCTACCTTCTGTGTCCCAAACTTAAGTCCTGAGGCTGGATGTGACAGATACGCACAAACACATAAGCAACATGAAGTACAGTCTACCACCCCTTTCATTCAAAGGCTGCCATGGGTGGAGTAGATTACAATGCCTCTCCCTTATTATAACAATAGCATATTAGAGCAGCAAGCGCTCCAATTGAGCCCTAGGCTGCAAGCCTGATAAGATTAAAATCTAAACTCATACCTCCCAGAAGAGTCTTTCTGAACTGTACTCCAAAAAACACACCCAAAAAACTAGCATGCTAAGCTTAAGTCTAACAAGGTTTAGACAGTATACCATATTGCAAGCATTTGAACTTTAAAGCAAACTGTGAGACAATTAAAAAAAATTCACTATCTAAGCATGCTGCTATACAATGAGGTTGTACCTGTTCATCAAGCTTCGAGAAGTACTTAGCAAGCAAGTTACTGGCATTGTAGGAATTATGAAGTGTACTTTAATTACGTAATACATAAGGGAATGTTTTATCATATCAGGTATAAGCACAGCAGTCTTCCAGGAAACCAAAGTTTAAGCAGAGGCAGGCAGAGAGTGAAAGTGCTAATGTTGGCAGGATGGAGTGTGGTGAGCAATAAATACATTAGTGTATGGAGAAAAGGTGGGTGAACAATAGCAAGGAAATTAACATGCCAAACTGGCTCTTGGAGGTTTAAGAGGAAGCCCACAAGGAATAAGGAAGGCAGGAAGTGTGTGTCTTGGTAATAACAAGGTAGGCATATGTAAAAGTTTCAGTTTAGATCTAATCAGTTTCTAAAGAGTCAGAAGATGTAGTGAGAAATTCAGATAAGACACAGGAGAAATGAATTCTTTCCTAGTGAGAGCTGATCTACTGGAGTCAGCCAGCTAGAATTTCCCTTGCTAGCCCATCTGTAAAGATTTTGATCAAATGCTTGTAACCTATTGCTGTGCGGGTGAAGTCACTAATAAGTACCATAATACTGCTACTTTAGTATTTTGTTACACTATTTTTATATTAAATAGTTGCTATTGGCCTTAGATTAAAAAAAGACAGAAAAGGAAGGGTGGCACCTTAGACTACCTGGTTCAGAGAGCTGTACGCTTTTGTAGGTGACCACACACTTTGTCAGATGCCTTCCCTTTATTGATCCACTTTATTTCATCCCCCTTCTCTCTTCCCTCCCCCCCAGCCCATCTCTCACCCACTGACTCCTCAATCTACATTTTCACTGACTGCCTGTCTTGTATGCATTCTAGCCCAGCCTCTGGCTTCTTTACTTTTCATTCCATCCAGGAAGAGCACACACCAACTGCTGAAACTTCCTTAGCCTGACTAAGGGTTTTTGAACCCAAAAGCTTGCTTAATTGTTTTCCAACTATTTAAGTTGGTCTAATAAAAGATATCAGATTCACCCAAAGAACCTTGTCTGCCTATTCCCTTTATTGATTCATTTGACTCAAGTTCTAAGTGGTCCTCTGGCAGTCTAATAACTTTTCCAGGATAAATAGAAACATGCGAGTTACACCTTCAGGCCCTCATTGTAGCTCATGAGGAAGGGCTAATTTCCTTTGCATGACACCTTTATGAATTTGCTCGAAGATCTACAAAATTCAGTTGCATTTCAGTTAGTCACTTAAATAAAAATATTGAATAGTGATCAGAGTGTGTTGATATACAAAATTATATGCATTACAATACAAAATAATCAAGTTTGAAAGAAAGGCAAGTTCTCTGGAGTTCCTTGGTCATGGGAATTTGGACAAATCAACTAAATCAGTATAGGAGATAAAATGTTCTCTTCTCCTTCTAATCTGTTTGATTATGCAAGTTCATCATCAAGGACTCTCTTTACCTCTTCATACACCTCCCGAACTGCAGCTCCCCCTGGTTCCTCCTCAGGTTCCATTCCTCCACCTGGTACAATCCACTGATCTGGGTACCGGCTACTGCTCACTAGCAGCACCTGAAAATACAATTCAAAACAATTGCTAAAGTATCTGAAAATTGTCTGTATGATCTACAATTGTAGTTTGAAGATTTTTTTTCATAATCCATTGCAATTCCAGATTGATTTCAGCAAAGATTTGTCTGCAATCAATAGTCTGTAGATAGAAGTACATGAAATTTCAAATGCAACTATATTAAACCTTGAATTTGTGCATGTTAAAACAAACCAAGGTTCATTCCTTTATTTATCTTCTTCCTCATTAGGATGTTACTTTCTTATGCTTTGCATAAAAGATGTTTCTATACATGCATATTTTTAGTACCGCTAAAACTGTTTCTCTACCTTGTATATGGTAAAGTGTATGTGCATATTAACAGAATCATAAAATATTTCATCTATATTTGCTCCAGATAGAATCACAATTAAATATTACTTGCAAGGACCTGAGATTAGAGAATTAAAACACGCCTTAAAGTTTAAGGAGGTTTATTTAACCAATTTCACTCAAATGATTATGGCTCTGTTACCATAAACAGACATCCATGCTAGAAGCATTGCACATAATACTGTGTAAATGCATTGTTACAACTCTAGATGGCAGACGTTCTTTTATCATGGTTTGTTTTCCCCCAGAGAAAAAGATTTCATGGAAATAGCTAACCAGGGTAAACCCAACCCAGCTGAGGCTACCTAACAAGGTAAGAATTTGAAGATTTAGTGGCACCTCTGGGCATTCATTTAAATAGTTAACATTAAAGTTTACCCATTGAGAGGGGACCTTTTACAACTTGCCCAGGCTGCTGTAAACGCAGACAAACTATACAACTTCACCCTTATGGAATGCCTTTGTTTGCATTAAAGTAGGGGTTCCCAACCTTTTTTTCCTTACTGCAGCCCAGCAGGAGCAGGACAGGACAGATGGAGCTGGCTACCTCCCTCCCAGGGCTCCCCCGCCACCCAACTTTAACCCCAAAAGCTCAACTGTGGCCCCAGAAGCCACTCGCCCAGGCAGACAGTCAGGGCTCTGAGCAAGGGGTTGATGCCATGACCCCGCAGCCAACTCACTGCAGCCCAATACTGGGCCACAGTCTGTTGTTTGGGAACCTCTGTATTAAAAGATCTTGGAAGTGAGCAAAGCCTCTAAAGAGTCCTCAGAAAGCCTTTAATCATTCATCTCAACAAAACACTGGGGTCTCCCCAGTGGGCAGAGGGGAGTACCATCTTAATACTAGACCATTTGGTCAACAGCAAGAAGTCCGTGATTTAACTGGTCAGCATCTGGCCAAAAAACTAAGATCCATACTCCACAAACAAATATAAGCAACTCCATTTATTGCAAAATGCCTTTTCACTTTAATACTGTGATCTTGGAAGAATAAAACAGTTTAAATGGTTAAAGGCCTCTGCCAACAGCCGTGAGCAACTGTTGGAGCAGCATGTTACAGGCCATCATGATGGATCAATTATTAAATGCAGAGAACCCAACAGAAACACACATCACTTTGGAGTCCAACAGAAGTGAACATTTCCAACAGAAGATAGGCAATAAACAAACATTCAGAGGCCATGCCTGTTGCCTGCAGTGGCAATCCACTTGGAAAGTGCTCAACTAGCAACTTTAAAAGCATTCTCTTATACCTAAATGCCATAGCTGTTCAACATTTTAAAAAAAAATGTCATCAACTGAAACACTGCACATTACATCCTGCTGATCTACCCAGATCTACCCAGTTGACTGCAATGAACACTACTAAAAACAATTAACATAGGATGATTCTATTACATTCAATCACTCACAGTTTAATGGAATAGTTTTAAATCAGCATTTACCGATTTTGTCAAAGGCTAGATACAAATTCCCATATACTAGTATGGGGTAAATAAAGGTTGCTCTCCCCCCCCCCCGGAAGCCTAG